CAAAATGCTGTAGAATAAGGACGTAATTAACACGTGTATGAAATAATGGATTTAAGCAAATCCGATTATTTTCTTCAGTCGAGGACGGAAAAAAAAGGGCGACCTGTGAAGTTGACGGTCATACTTACTTAGATGGAGAATACTTTAAGTCAAAATCTGACCCAGATTTAGAATGTGCCTGCATACCTGGATTCAAAGGTATTGAAAATTTCGAAACAAAGTATTAACTTCAATTTAAAATCAAATATAACCTATTAAAACTTAAGTAGAAATTATTTAACAGAACTACATATAAGAACTTGTATAAAACCAAAAATTTTACAAATGAAATAATCTAACTGCTACAGAAGTTATTCGAATCAAGTAGATATATAAATATAAAATGTAGTTTATGAATTGCATTAAGCAAGATTTTCAAGTTTAAATTGATTTTCCTTTAAATTTGTTACAAAATGATTCAAATTTATTTTGATATTAATAGCTTGTGTAGGTTGGTTTCTCTTGTTTGTAAAGCAATAATTAAACAAAAGTAATGTAATACTGTTGGGTTACATATTTCTTAATATAAAGTATTAATATAAAATGCCAGGTTCTCATCCACAAAGAGAATCTGATAATTTGGATGAAAAGAACACAAGTTACATAAAAAGAGTTATAACTGATACTGAATATATATGTAGAGTATTCTTCTTTTGTTCTTTAGAACAGAGTCTGAGTCAAACAATTTATTCATGTCGAAATACTTATAAATACTAATATTGATAATATATTTTAAAACAAATTGCATATTTAGGTGAAGAAGTCGAACCTTTCTGTAAGAAACCAAACCGTGATTATTGCTCTCCATTGTTCCGCCATGCTGATGCTTTTGTTAAAAAGTGTGCACCTGTTTTCTACAACAATCAAAGCCCACAAAAAGATTGCAATGTGTTTAGTAGATGTCGTAAGTTTACAACAAAAGTGTCACTATAAATTACTTATATCATTGGAAGAAATTAACAAAATACCCTAATTAAAGTGTAGTTCATAAAATAGATTTCATATTTTACAGAAAATGCGAATGATACTGTCATTCCTAAAGAAGGCAGCACTAAGTCTGTCTCTGAAAAAGGTATGTGTGATAATGAAAAATGCATTTCTATCAGTTACATACTTCTTAATAACATATTATCTTAACTGCTCAACAATTTTCATTAACATTTTTAATTTATCAATAAGTATATTAGTTGCATTTGCTGACTTCATACTTTAATGTTGCATGGGAATTAGTCTAATTTTATCATTAAATCAATCATTAACTGAATCATATAGCTTCAGTAATAATTTATGGGAATTAGTCTAATTTTATCATTAAATCAATCATTAACTGAATCATGTAGCTTCAGTAATAATTATTTATTATTCTCTTCAAAAAAAATGTAAACAGTAAATAATCAAATATTATTTCATTATTCATTTTTTTCTGAACCATTGGATCATAGATTTTGTTTTTATTAGTATAGTTATTTGCAATTTGAAAAACAACCAGAAAAAGAAATTATTAACAACGATGTTATCAATATCAATGTTGATAATACCTGATAATACTGTAGAATATTAGTGAATTCTAAATATTAAAAAATTGGCTGTAGTGCGGTATGACCCAAACATCATAATGAAACGAAATTTTGAGAAGTTGAGGGAAAGGGAGGGAAGACTCCGAATATAATATTTTAGCTTGCGGTATGTATTAGTTTCTGAGATATTAATAAAAAACTTTGGGTATAATACATTGCCAATATACCACTATATGATATCAATATATGATACCAAAGCATTCCATCACACATGTAATATCAAATTTCAAATAATAATCAATGCACTAATTAATTGGCTTTAATACGTACATACTTGCGTTTGATATATACTACCAACTGCAAGATAGTCAATGATCGTAACTGTGTTTATCGATTTTCCAGAAAATAAGATGTGTCAATTCGGTAACATGATGATGCACATAGGTGACGAACTGAAACAAGGAACCGACTACGATTCTACGTGTATAAAATGCGTATGCGAAGTGCCACCTACTCCGACGTGTCAACGACTTCCCGATGACGTATGCGATGTTACATCTGGGCCATTTAATTAATATTACAAAAGTCTGTGATACGTCGTTTGCATAGGTTACTGATTCTAGAGTCTCATGTACCTCAAGTTAAGTAACTGTAATCATTTTTAACAATTTCACAAATGAAGCTTTCGTTGTTAAAGTATCTCAGTCGGCAATTCTGTGATAATTTGATAATTTGTTACAGACATTTTAAATAGAGAAATAGCATTGCTTTCTTAATGGATAATTTGTTTTATTATTATTATTTACCCAATTCCTATTATGTGAAATATATCATGCAATTAGCTTGTTTAATTTTAAAAGATATCGAAAATTTTAATTAAATTGGGAAATTAAAACTGCCTACATACATACAAAAATTAGAGCAGAATTCCATGCCTTGCCTATTGTTTACAATTAGTAATCAAATCTGCCTTGAAGATCTTCGAACAAAATGCAGAGCAATTGTAACTTTCTTGCCAAATCTACCACCGCTAGGGAAAAATTTATACATGTACAGAGTTCTGTAAACGAAAATACTGCACCGTTACAATTGATACAGGAAGTGGGTACGAGATGAATTTTCACATATGGAAAGTTTAAAAGATTTGTTTCACTTCACATAGCATTAAACATAATGCTGTCTGATAACCTAAGAACGTGCAACAGTGTTGGGGACTTGCACGATACTGCTTTACCGTACCGTCCTTAGTATATTGCACCCTTCTGTGCCATCTGATGGTTTTTTTCAAAGGACCACCCAAAGGACTGAGGTGAGTGAGGAAACGCCATTACACTGTTTTCACCTCAATTAACGGTAACGGTGGTAGTGACACGAAAATAGCAAAGGTCGGACAAAAAGTGCCCATAAGATGCAAAGTCCATCCTGTACGTCGTCTGTGCCTGTACCTCGTCTGTCATAGGCTAAGAGAATCATGGGACTTTTTGTCACATGATCTGAAATACCGACGTCGTTCAAAACTATTGGTTCTGACACGCACTCTATGCTTAAAAACGATCTTTTTAAGAACTGCATTGCACAAAACGATCGATATTGGTCGTCTATACATTGTTACTGTATTGTCAATACACCCTTGGATCCCAAAACGCAAATGTGTCACTGAATCCATTCTAATTCATCCTAAGATTCGAAATTTTGTCTTATTTAAAATAACAAATGCCAAGTGTTCTTGATTTCAATTCCTACCACTAATAGCGCAATGATATAATACCAGTCTTAATCGATACAGTAGGATGATGGTAACAGGGTTCTAGAACCCCCTGGTCGTGTAACAAAAAAATATAATATCACTAAAAATAACACCAGAAAGATTTATTAATCAAAAATATTTATTATGTTTCTAAAAAATATGCTTGTAATATGAACAGTATAAGTTGTTACAATTCATTTCTTGCAACTAAAACATAGTATGTAATCTCAAATATCTAAAAATAAAATCTTTAATTTGAAATTTTGTTTTATTAACATAATTATTAACATAAAACAAAGTATATTTAATTA